CACAGCGAGCATATTTTTAAACTCGGTGTTTCTAATTTTTAAAAAATTTTTAAATTAAGGTGGAAGTATGCAACGGACCAAAATTAAGAATTAAAGTAGAAAATATTGAAAACACCTATAGGCGCCAAGGGCACAGTGAGCATATTTCCAAAGCGCCTATAGGTACTAGCAACAGTGTAATTCGTCGAATTTTTCATTGGTTTAAGGATGCGGGAATATGAGGAGTTGGATAGAAAGAATATCAACCCTTTGCACTCCAATGACGCTGCTACGGCGACACGCATAATTACTTTGCCGAGCGTTAAAATGTGAAATGAATTTTTTTGGTAACAGTAGAAATATAATATAGGTAATAGTAGAAGGTACTCTGCAAAAGCGTACCGAAGTTGTAGATTAACCTTATCAAAAAACGCTTGGAGTACAAAGGGCTAACTACTTACCCGTAAAAATACTAATTTCCCGCCTTACACGAAGATATTTCAAAATTCCGAAAATTTCAACAGAATCGTGACACATCGAACAATAACGTAATCAGCAGCGAAAGGGTTAAAGGATCCCGAAATCCCTTCTCTGGTCTAATAGAACTTCCCCTCTAATCTAATTATTCCACAAATTACCATCGGTAGGCATTGGTTGATCGATTAATCGACGTATTCCAATCACGCGTTCTTGCGACCGTTCAAAGGGCTCGATTGTAAAGGTATCTCAGCATACACGTGCTCTGTGTTCGTATCAAAATCATTCTGCAGGCGTATTCTCGTTGCTGGTGGTATATCGTAATGATCATCTTGCAGTAAACCTGCACAAAACCGGCCCAGCAATAGCGATAACAGAATAAAAAAAGAACACCACGGTACACGAGTATAAAATTGATTAATTCTTCCAAAACACACTCGGTACGAGCACACGTGTAAGAAACTCACCGTGTAGATTGCCGGATAATCGTAGACCAATGGTAGCTGCCCCGTTGGCATAGTTGCCCGAGGGATCGATGTTATCCATCTGCATCATTCTCGGCTCGAGTGTAGTGGTGAACAGTGGTCCCAGGCGAATTGGAGTTTCTGTAAATATTGTTCTCTCTTTTCTCTCTCTCTCTTCTATTTTTAATAACGCCGGCGATAACGGAGAATCGAGCGTACAATGATAACCTTGACAGGGGAGAAAAGGGAAAACGCGTCAGCAATAGCGAGGTGTTCTAATCCTCCATGGGTAATCCACGTTGTCGGAGCGTGGAGCTCAAGATGGTCACCGAGATAGGATTACGTGGAGGAGATCGAGGTCAAGGACAGGTGGATTTCACCCGGAGCGACGAGAAAGGAGGATTTCGCGAAACAGTTGTGCTTGTACTCACGAGGAAGAGTGCCCGTGACTATCGAAGAGATCCTCGTCGAGTTCAGATTCTCTTGGCTCTTCTTCTCTTCGTAGATAGAGATTCTGCCGGTCTCTAGTAATTTCGAACGCATGTGGAGGACCATCGCTACGGCCACTGATGTTAAGCCTAGAGAGACGATAGAGGCTACCACGATTAGAGCGATGTCCAGGGGAATTGGGGCTGGTTGCACGTCTGTTTGAAAGTGGAATTTTTTGTTAGGTTCGAGGTGGTTGTCGAGAGCGTTTCATGTTGTGTATTCTGATGGATTTTGGTATTTTTGGGTACGAGGGATGGTTAACGAGTAGAGAGACGGAGATCTGGTTCAAGAATGTAATTATGAGTTAGGATAATTGTTCTCAATTTTAAGAGAGCTGTTTGGCAACTATTTCAGTACTTATAAAGAAAATTGAAAATTTAGTAATTTAGAAATTTTAGAAAAGTTAAAAGTTGGGAAAATTTTAAACTTTTTAACTTTAAGAGTTTGAAAATTTAAATATTTGAAAATTTCAAAGTTGGGAAATTTAAATATTTGAAAATTTAAAGGTTTGGAGATTTGAAAGTTGG